CTTCTCGAACTTGCAGCATGCGCGCCGAAAGGCGAAGACCAAACTCAGCGCAGAGTGCCCTGAGCGGTCCACCGCATCCAGCCTCGGGTAGGCCGTACCTGGCGCGTAGGTTTTTTTTTTTTTTTTTTTTTTTTTTTTTTTTTTTTTTTTTTTTTTTTCTTTTCGCGAAGCAACGCTTCGGCTGCAAAGGTTTCCACCACTGTTTTTTAAGGCCAGCTCCCGCCCCCCACCCCCCCACGCACTGGCTTTTTGAGAGTACTTGGGAATTTGGACATGGTAAAGAGCAGTTGTTGGGGAGTGCTGGAGGGTCACCTCATTGTCCTAGGGATAGGGGTTGTGGAGGAGTGGAAATCTATTTAGATTAAATCTGCTGGTTTGACCGTGCCCTAAGCCAAACCTTCAGAAAGCGAGAAAGAAACCAACCCACATTTTTCAGCGTATGATGTCAAATGATGCCCACGCCTAAGTAACAAAGGATGCATTTACTATGGAAACCTGGTGCTTCCAAATTATACCAACAACAAGTGGGTACTTTGGCGTAGGCAAACACGAGGCAAGGCTCTTGGCGGGGTACTGCTACCAACGATTGCTGGAAAAAGGGTCGTATTTTCGATGCCAGGCCACTAGGTATGTTCATAGTGTTCAATGGGTAGTGTCCTTCACCTACAAAACCTGGGTCAACGTTCAACCATACACCTAGGATCTAGATATATGTATCCGCATCTTCATTTTCAGGGGCCAAAAGTAAGATGGCGCCAAATGGGCGTGCCTGAAAAAAAATGGGCACTAAGCCCGGCCTTCGGAGCCCCAAGTACTCCTCGAGTTCTCCAAGTTCTTCGCCACCTTCCGGGGGTCCGCACCTGCTTGGGTTCCAAGCGGACAAAGAAACCGTTTCGTTGCTTAAAGCAAGTGACGCGACTCGTTCGGAAAAACCGAAATCTGAAGACGCGGATGTTTGGCGTCCGATGTGCAGTTTATCTTTCAGCTTTGGAGAGGACCAAAACATAGGTACAAACTGGCACACTCAAAGGTAAACCGTGCATCAGGAGCCACGGCGAAAGGGAAGTGCTACGAGGATATGGGGGATTCTCCATATCGGGCGAGGGACCCTTTTTGGAGGGGGTCAGAAAGGGGAAAGCTGAAGCAAACCGCGGGCACCCTATTTGACACCAACTTAGAATGTCCGGAAGCTAAGTGGCTAGTAGCCACCAGTTAACCTGTAGATCCTCATAGCTCTAGTTGGTAGTCAACACCGCAAGCCACTTGTGGGATGCATGCAAAAGCCGTTCAGCTTCAATGAACACCTTCTCTTTCGGATAGTTTTTTGCCAAACAGAAACTGAATAAAATACATAACTCCTTCACATTTGCACAGCTTTTGCCAAACAGAAACTGAACGAAATAAATCACTCCTTAGCATTTGCACAGTTCTTGCCAAACCAAAACTGAATAAAATACATAACTCCTTCACATTTGCACAGCTTTTGCCAAACAGAAACTGAACGAAATACATCACTCCTTAGCATTTGCACAGTTCTTGCCAAACCAAAACTGAATAAAATACATAACTCCTTCACATTTGCACAGCTTTTGCCAAACAGAAACTGAACGAAATAAATAACTCCTTGGCATTTGCACAGTTCTTGCCAAACAGAAACTGAATATAACACATAACTCCTTAACATCAGCGCGCCATGTACTGAACGGAAAGGATCCCATTGCCATAGGTCCTCGGCTTGCCCTCGCCTTGCCGACTCTCCCGTCTCACTGGTCCGTAAGACGTGCCTTAGACCATCCATGTGCCAGCTAAGATTATTTGTGAGCCATGTTTCCTATGAACCGTCATATGAACCAAATGATTTAATGCAAACCATGTAATTCCATGATAATAACAAACAGAAAAAGTCCTCTCTCTTCACCAGCTTGACCGGTCGACCGCTCGCGGGCCTTGGGCCATGCAAAACCGGATCAGCTTCCTGAGCGGTTCGTCGATTCTATCCCACGAAACCTTAACCCCAAAATTCGAGTGGTTTTCCTTTGTCCCTTTAAACAACACCAAACCATTGAAGGTATCATGAAACAAACAGAAAATAGGGAAGTACATCTGTGGCTTTCCTGGTCGCTCGAACAGGGTAATTAACTCCCATTGCTTTTTGCCTTCAAAGTCAACCAACAAAGGGTACCATTCGTAAGACCCACAACAAATAGGGGTGCCATCAAATAAACACACCGTCAAAAGATTGCTGGATCTCTTTTGCCGAAGCTTCCAGATGGGCGCTGCGCTGGCGGTGTTCGAACTCAGCCGCAGCCCGTCCGGCACGATGGCCATCAGCGGAGTGCCCAAAGACGGATGGACCTGCAACCAGCCAACCAGAATGTTGGAAAGCCATAAACATGTTCATGGCATGGGTAGTTTGAGGGTCCAGGTAAACCAGGAAACCCTTCGGACACCTTACTTTGAACCGATACCCACAAGGTGCCCCATATGGTGCGCAATTCACCCAACTTGGGTAGGCGTCTCCCTCATAATGGTGTGTTTCCGGTTGGTTGCCCTAGAAAAACGCAACAACAAGGGTACCGAGCCTCAACAAAAAGCGGGCTCCTTTTGACGCTGGGGACTTTTTTTCACACAAGGTCCCTCGTTTTTTCAGGGACCAAAAGGTAAACCCTGAACGCCATAAATGGTGCACCCCTCTCAAGCAGAAGCTGTTTTCTTGCTAACCAAAACCCCCTGGGCGGACCGTTTTCAAGGGAGAAGACAGGAACTCCCTGTATTTTGTATTTCCCATTTATCCTTTATATACGACCTGTTCAATATGCATTGCGCTCACAGGATTTGGAGTACAGCCAAAGGAACCAGTGGATCCCGGTAGCTACTTGGATGTCCGTTGCCAAGTTAGCAAGTTGGTAGATTAGGTTATGACCCACTTATAAGTCCCCCGGTCGGTGGGGTTAACAATTTGTTAGGGGTGACGAACCCCAAATGGCTGACCCCTTACTAACTTGGCAACGAACATTCAAGTAGTGAGGGGTCCCAAATGCTTGAATTCCAATGTTGTTTCCTTCTCAACAAGTGAGACATTCAATTCAGGTGACATCCAAAATGGAGGTCCAAAACAGGCAAGCGGGGATCCTCAAAGTACATTCAAATGAGAGATTGCCGTGATGTGCCACCTTGGTAGTTCGAGGCTTCAGGTACCCTTCTTGGCTTGCCGTATGAAATGCAGCTATTTGCCCTCTAAACATCACCCCACCAAAAGGAAGCTCACTTTGAGCTGGCCCAAAGGGTGAGGTTTAAATGCCACCAAAAAGATTCGTCTTCGAAAAAATACAACAAATTCCAATTCCCCAAATGAACATCGAGAATCTCGAAGCAAGGAACCTTCATCGTGGATGAGCTCGTTATATTCCGGGTAAAGTGACCGACCAAGTCGGGAAATATAGGGAAACCTGTAAATTGACCACCCCCAACAACACTCTTGAACAGTTTAGATCCCCCAAAGGAAACATGTGCAAATTCCTCAAAATGGAGGACGCACCCCTTTCTGAGTGGTTTTAACAAGGAACCCACAGGGAAACAACCCATTTTGGGCTCCCCTATGTTGAGAACCTCCCACGTTGGGTTGTCTTCAAATAGGGACCCCCACCCCAACATGGGTGTGTTCCTAAAACTGGGCTCCCTCCCAGCGAAAGGGTGAATCAGCGAACCGGCCTGGTTCCAGTCCCAGTCCATAGGCACAAGCTTAGAGATGACCACATCATCCTGCGGACTGGGTGTGTCCGAGTCATAATCAAAACCCATTTTTGTTCAACGGCCTACCCACCATGTAAAGAGTTCAGAAGGCGGTCGCTATGGTTGGGATTGCCCCTTACCTTCATCTACCCGGGTTTTCAGGACACCGTTCACGTTTAGGTCGGGCCCGACTTGGTACCCCAAAGTAGAGTTTTGGGTTTGGTTCGAGTTGTTGCAAAAATATATGAGATACCAAGGGGCCTGTTCGGATAGAGTTTGTTGGACATGACAATTCGATGATTCATGTCCAGCAACTCGTGAGCTCCACTAGTTGATCGGAGATCGGCACCCATGCGTTGACTGTCCCTTCCAAACACTCGGGTTCTGATGCCTCAAGTGGCTTACTTTCTTGTTGGTTCCTTTCTGACTGAACCCAAACACCTGAAAAAAGAAGTCCAACATCTTTCTTTGCTTGATTCGCCGACTCGAACAGAGACCCCCCAAACGCTGGTCCGACCCCTCTTGGGGACGTGCTTTGATTTTTAGATACAGTAGTTCCTTTTTGAGGGACACGACACCTCCAATCAGTCACCTTTGCGATGTTGTCCTTTTCAATGGACCCACATTGGAGTTCAAATGGTTGCCCTTTTGATTACACAGGGAACCCACAAACAATTGCCGGAGTCCAACCACTCTTACAGCGCAATCAAGGACACCTCTAGTATGTGCTCCACATCAGCTGTTCCCAGATTAGCTCAGGTTTCTTCCAAACCCGTGGGAATGGCTGCGAATGCTATGAGTGCCACAGCGCGGTCTTTGGTTGCTTCCCCTCCACACATCACCCACCAAAAGGAAAGCTCGCTTGTTCCCCAGATAGCTGAAAGCTACAGGGGTTCTAACTTCGAGTAAAGGAGGGGGTGAGGCTCAGCATTCCGGCCAGGTGCTGTTGCAAGGGTGCTGCAGGCCGAGACTTAGAGTTGCGCAGCTGCTGCGGAACCGCAGTCTTCCCGCAGTCTTCACGGAGTGCTTTCTTCCGGCTATCATTGTGCGTTGGCGAAGCCGTTTGAGAGGCGGCGCGTTAAGCAAATCCGCTAAATCATCGGCTGTGACTCGTGTGTTTAGTTCGTTGGCTGACACCACTCTCTTGCTATCTGGGGTCTATGCTGGTATATTATTTTCCTTTCCAAAAGGCAATCCCAAAAAAACCCACGCCCTCCATTACGGACGCCGTTCGATGGGGTTGACTGTGCCTTCCTGAGTGTGCCGGACTGGCCAAACAAGTTCAAACTTGCCACGCTCAATAAAAAAGCCCGAAGATGCCTAAAGAGTCTAAATTGCCCACAGATCCGGATCTCGAGTGAGGCGGGTCAACCTTATGCTTCTATTTGCTTAAGCCCCCTGAACAAAAAAGACTATGTCCAATGGTGATGGATTGTCCAATAGTGATGGATTCCCTTTAATACCAACAAGGGGAAAACAAACCTAAACATATTCCCCATGCTTCAATTTGCTTACACCCCCTGGACCAAAAAAAGACCAATATATAGTGATGGATTCCCTTTAATACTATGGTTATGTCTATGCAAAAAGGTCGCGCTTTTTCCAGCGCCTTGAGCCAATGGCGGTGCCATTGAATGTGTCGAGTGTGTTTTGCTCCACACTCCCCCTGCAGCCATTCAGCTGCACAAATGTCAGAACACATCCCAATTGGATGAGTCCTGAGATGAGGCCCTCTTATCGGATTCCTCATCTTGCAAAAGTTCCCGAGGTCCTCGGTCTCCATGAAAAGCTCCACTTGCCGGGAACGTCAAGACCGGCCCCGCGTCCTCTTTCCCCGCTTCTCCGAGCTGCCTCGTGCATAGCCGTGGTGGGCATCTGAAACGCCTCCAGAACCACTTGCACTTGGATCCACGCCTGTCGAAGCCTTTCCACGATTCTTCGTGGACGTCCAGCCAGACTTCTTCTCCTTCCCGGCCTTGATCTGGAAGAAGGTGTACCCCCGCCATGGTTGCATTTGCGAGGTTCGTTGTCGCTCTTGATGAGCGGTCCAGCTGTCCTCCTCGACGGACCGAATACCCAAAGGCGATGTGCCCGTGTGTAGCTTCACCGTGATTCTCCTCGAGTCCAATCCAGCGAGAACTCTCGGTGGATCGGGTGAAACCTGCGTTTCCGAGGTTTGCCATGTGCCCATCCCGGCTGGGACCAATCCCACTCATCTTTATTCTTGTTCTTGAGCTTCGGGGGGGACTTGCACTCCTCGAGTTCCCACGGGAGTACTGGTCCACCCTGATGAAGATCTTCTTCTTCATCATCTGACTTCTTCACTTCCTCTGTCTTCTCCTCCATCTTGTTTTCCTGCTGCTTGGTCTCCACATTCGGCCGTTTCGACAGCCCTCAAAGCTCGCAGCCGCGGAACTTCTCGCTCGCTTGAGGCCCTGGTGTGGGTGTTCCCAATCCTGGGACGGGCTGGCCCCACGTCATCCGGGTTGTTGTAATCCCTTGGGCTGCGGCTTCGTTCACGCTCACCCGGTAGTGAAGTGATTCCCAGGTCCCGCAAGCCCACATTGCCCCGCAGTGGAGCCACAAACGTCGTAGACCCCGTCCAGGCATCTGCTTCGCGAAAAGCTTCCATCCTCCAATTGTCGTTGATCACCCACCGCCCGCGCTCAATGTCGACAAAAACCAGGCGCCGACTCTCCAGCATCGTAGCGTTGACCCCCGGAGGCATGTTGCTCGGGTCCGGTTGAAAGTCCCGGTTCCTTCTCAGCATATGGATGCGGGTCGCCACAATGAAATACCGTTCGAACGTCACCTCCCAAAAGTCCTCCGGCTCCTCATCCAATGACCCACGATCTGGACCGCCCGGAGGTTCAGGCCATGGCTCACATGGTGCCCTGATTGGCACTTGACCCTACTTACTGATGCAGGGCAGCCCGTAGGGCAGTGGTAAAATGGCAGGCGGAAGGGGTCCTCCGGTTTTACCCTCAGGGCTGGTTCATTTTCCCTAGCCCATCTTGATGTCGCCGGTTCATGTTCCCTGGCGATCTTTCTCTCTGTCGGTTCATTTTCCCTGACAGAGGCCCTTGCTTCCACCGGTTCCCTTGGTGGCAAGCTCCCAAACAGAGGGTCCCTTGAGTGTGGTCGGTTCATCTTCCCTGACCATCTTGGCAACCCTTGCCTGATGTGCGGCTGGTTCATCACCCCTAGCCGATCTTGATTCCCTCGCAGGTTGGGCCTGGTGGCCGTTACACACAAATCCTAAACCAACACCAAGAGCCGCCAAACAAAGCTCCTTAACGGTGTGAGACCGGGGATCCTGCGGCTTCCAGCATGCCACATGACCGTGTCCTTGGTGAGGCCCTTCTGGAGCCCAATGGCTTCCTGGCTCAACACCCCATCCACCTCCAATGTCTCCGGATCATGCCCGTCATGGCGCAGAACCTAAGCCACTGTGACCTGGAAGCTACCGTTTTTGTGAGGTAGCCTGCTACCAAATCACAACCTGGCAGATGTCGAACCTGCCATTCTCCACCTCTCACTCTTTCTCGCAACACATTGGCACGCAGCCGAAGATGCCGTGTGCGCCACGGCGCATCTGGATTCTGGACGATGGCCAACGCCGCCGTGTTGTCCCCGTACATCACCTTCTCCGTGATTCCTTGATCGTGGTGTGTCCAAGACCGCACAAAGGGAGTCACCCATGATCATGGCCTCAATGTAGCCCACCAGTTCTGCTTCTGCTGTGCTGAGGGTCGCAAACGGCTGGTGGCTTGAACCAAAGCACCTCCATAGAAACCAAGAACCCCTTGATGGCTCTTATCACTCAGCGGGGCAAAGGAGATGTCCATCGACCTCGCAAACGGCAAACCTCCATCTGGCCCCCTGTCTCCCTTGCAGCACCCGTACTTCAGCCCATCTCCTTCGTGCCGTACAAGTACGCCATCATCTCCATGCCGACCTTGACCACCTCCTGCAGACATCGTGTCACATGTTGTGACATCCAAGAAACGCCGAAGGACACATCGGGTCTTGTCCGCACCGATAACCATAGCAACTCTCCGACTAGTCATCTGCGGATTCTCGGGGATCTCCGGCTGAAAAGGGACTGGCCTCCGCAATATGAGCCCATGTAGATCTCCATCTCCATTCCACCTCATCTCCATGCCACAGAACTTGGTCCAACCTTCATGATGAACCCATTCCGGCAGGCTGCAGACCCATTCTTCATCCACCAAGCCTCGCGGTCCGGCTGCCAGGAAATCATCCACGTAGATCACGACGTATCCACAAGGAGGCGCATCTGTCTCCTTCTTCTGCTCCATCGCCGCCCACACGTTGGACTCTGTGGTCTGCTGCAGCTTGAAGCTCCGGCCCTCATGCTTCCACTCGAAGCCTTTCAGGCGTTGGTCCCTGAAGACCGACCAGTCTGCTGGGCTGGTCTCCAGACCGTACATGGCTCCTTGCGCTCTGAAGTCGGAACGATGCCCGCCTCCACAAGCGCCTCGTGATGAGGACCCTCCCCTTCTCCTGAGCAAGAAGGCACATTTCACGTCCACCGTTGCCAGGTCCCACCGCTCATGCGCAGTTTTCCGTAGGACGCATCTCAAGGCCGTGCCGTCGATGCCTCCCGCATAGTTCTCCTTAATTGTCCACCGCCGACACCAGATTCCCTGGGGCGAACTCCGCGCCCGGGATCTCGTCGACCGGTTTCACCACCTTCGTGCCATTCACCAAGGCATTGTACTCGTCGGTCATGGCTTCCTTCCAGCTTTCCAGATCTCGTCTACCTTTTTGCTTTCCTGCTGGAAACCCCCTGAACAAATCCAAGTTCCTCGCCCATGAGGACGATCTTGATCTCTTCTGCATGCCTGCTTGAAGCCTTGGTCCGTTGCCCAAAATTTCTGCAGGCCGGTGTGGTACTACCCCCGCTTGCACGGGCCTTCCACTTCTTCCTGAGGTGCTACCACTGCTTCATGGTCGAGATCTCCCCCCAGATGAGGCCCACGTGCCATCCGCTGTTAACCGTTGCT